GGCAAAAGGCTGTTACAAAATCAATGGGCGAAGGTAAACGCTTTGTTAATGGGTTAATGGGTGCGTTGCCTAGTAAGATGGCTTTAATACGCGTGGACGGAGGTGTCGTTTCCACTATGGAAGGTATGGAAGACTCCATACCTCACATTTTTGCAGGTATGGAATTTTATAGCTCAGAATATTGAAAAAATTATTTATAATTTAATGCGAGGCACTCGCTCTCTGTATGAAAACAAATTGTTTCTTGGATTGTGGGCGTCGGGGGTCGTCAAAATTTTGATTTCGCGAGTTTAGGGTAGGGTCCTGCCACCGAGTGTGTTTTGTCGGACACACCTCCGATTTAGACAAAAAACAAATAGTTAAGGCGCGAGGGTAAGAGTCACTCCGAAGTCCAGAAATGAGCCTCTCGGGAGGATGAATGCGAAGTCAAATACAAATGAAAAAGAAGTTGATTATTAAAAAAACAAGGTCTGATTTAGGAAAATGGCCTATCCCTATCTATAAAACGGGGGATATCTGAACTGCGCCACTCACAACATACCAGGAAAAGAGTTGTCTTCTCCCCTTTCTTTTCGTCTCGTTCCTTTCTTTGGTCCTTCTCTAGGTCGATTGTCCCTTTTCTGGTCAATCTCCTGTCCAGCCAGTCCAGTCAGTCTCAATTCTCTCTCACTATTCCAATATTCTTTTTCACCTTCTCAATTCAGTCTCACTCCTTCAAATCTTTCTCACTCTCTCATTCTATCTTTTTCTGCGTTAATTTCTGTGTTTTTTTGTTTTTGACCAATCATGCTTTAGTTCCGGAGGAAGGTGAGGTAATTTGTAAAATGCACGATTAATCATCTATTGGTTCTCCTCCTCTCTTGTCAATGAAGAATGATGCGTGTCCGTGTGACACGGACCGCGTACCATCGGTCGTGTAACATCGTCGAAAAAGGGGGAAACGACGAACCTAAAGGCCCGATTAATTAAATAATACATTATTAGAAAAAGAATTAAAATAGGATTACGTCGGTGTTTTACTTAGCGTACGTATTAAAACATCTTCGGTCTGCCGTAGGAATACGTATAAAAAGTATTGTACTTTTACAGATCGTCGAATAAACGTGTGAAGATCATTTGGCAGGCAAAATGAGTTTTTCTAATTATTTTTTTAAATTTTAACTATGAAAGTAATCGTAAGAAAGAGGCGTTAGCGGGGTGTTTTTAATCGTACCCATCACTAATTACGCCAGGCCTGGCAATAAGAGTAGCGGGATGATGAGGGAGGGGCTCTGTAAATTCGGGACTAGACTCGCCGGACATTCTTTATTTTAGCATTTATTGAAACGAGAAAAGGCGCAGTTTGTCTTTCGTATTCACTTTTCGGGTCTGCGCTTTATAGTGGCTACGGTAAATTTTCGCACGAGCCTATCCTTATTTATAAATCCATATCCTCACCCTGCCGATCCTATTGTAGATGGTCGAACCTACGATGGGCGCGAGGAAATATATATACAGTATATATCTTCATTACTTTCCGAGATCACAAATTTCCTATGTGTTAGATAATGTATTTATTATATTAGAAAGCATAGAAATGTATTATATTATATTAAACAATTTATGAAATAAGTNACATAAAAAATTCTGCCATATACCTGTACACGTGTCTTAAATATTATATTAGTCTATATCTAAAATTTGACAGATTACATGAAAAATATTAATTGAAGAAGCGAATGAATTAGGCTGAATTTTATTCGATAAACAGAAGTAACTAACCCACTTTTCTTATTAAAAATTATATGTTTGTCTTTTTACGTCATACTCTTATACAAAAAATTCAAAATTTCAGTAACATTTTATTGGCTTTTTATAAGCATACAAAACAGAATCGTTGGTAAAATTATTAATTGATTAAAACTTCCATTACAATTTTAATCATTTAGTAATTTTATAGCAATTTGCGTACCCTTTTCACACGTTTAACAATTAACATCATTTACATATTTAACATTTATTCGCTCAATTTACCTATTCTGGCTTTGTACGGTTGGTTCCGTACCTTTTAATATCGAAATTATCTTAAATATCGCTAGAGTTACATCAATTATATAGGCTGATCTTAATATACACTTCCTACAGAACTGTTATATAAGTTTGATGTTACGATTCACCTCTAGACGGAATTAAATGGAAGTAATTTGTGGTTATCTAGTACGATATTTTATCCGTGTTCATAGATTACTAACGCAGTAAGGTAAGGTAATACAATAGTGTCAAACCAGAACGACAATATAATTCTAAAGCAGTGTTTCTCAACGGGGGCGTTTTTCCATGTTGAGGGGGCGATTAGTAACAATTTATATTTTGGAGAGCGGAAAACTATTTTCTGGGCGATATAGTAAAACATTATATTAAGAATAATTAGATATTTTATTCGTTATATCGTACAATAATTAAACAAATAACATTACACTAGTCACTAGTCTATTCGATGCGGCACGAATTTGGCGTTAGCCTTGGCCCTGGGCATCGGAATTTTGTAGTGAAGGGGCGATACTACGTTGAAGGGGGCGACGATTCGTTAGAGGTTGAGAAACACTGTTCTATTGTATAAATTTTGTAATTACAAGCAGAAAATCAAAATACTTTTTAATGAAGACCTACTCGAAATGGTCTGTATTTTCCATAACATACACGCTGATTATTGACTAAATTTTACTTTATCGTATTTAATACATACCAATTGACTGAGTGCATAAATTATAAAATAAATGCACAATTTTTATAATTAAAATTAGATTAATCACAATTAATTAACATTTCGCACGAACATAATTATGGAACATTTTTCATATATTTTGAATATATATCATAATTTAAAAATACGCAAATTTTAGATTAGAATTTCACGAAATTTTGTCAGTGAACTCCATCGGAATGCGAGGATTAATCATTTGAGTGGAGATATTTATCGCTTACTTTTCAGAACGAGTAACATAAAGCAGAAAATACGATAACAGGCTTGTCGAATACTAAGGCATTTATCTACTGAAGAGCAACGGATAAAATCCCACTCAAATATCATCTTTGCATTCCGAAACAATTCATTAACAACGGTTTCGGGAAATTCTAACTATAAAGTAAAATTACACCAATTTTTGCTTTATTCGACCACGAAACCGCCGACATTCCTTATTACTTTTGAACGAACTCGGCTCTAAACGATCCACGCAACGGTTATCGAGGATCTGCCGACGTGGCTCCGCAATAGGGAATATCGGCGATTACGTGCGCCGAAAAAGAAGAAATTGGTGTTATTATACTTTATAATTCAATTACATTTCATAATTAAAATAATTCGTAAACACCGAGTGAGCGATCGAAAACAGAACCGCACTCGTCTAAACGCCCCGTGCCACATCCGAGAGGTGGGGCGAGGCGTTTAGGCCATTCTGTGTAGCCGAGCGTTGCTGGTTCTTAGAGTTAACTAACTCTTCGTGTTATAGGTACTTAGCACTCTCGTGAATTTGTTTTCATTTGATCACTCTGTATACCAGCAAAGTGGAATAAAATTATAAATGTTTCGCACACTTAAATCTTGTAAAGTTGAGAATTAATGGCGTAACCTGTGCCAGGGTTTGCAAAATAAGGCAAATTTCTTTATACACTTTGTAAAGATTTATAAAGGAATTTCTTATTTTCCAAACGTCATTCGTACAATTTTTAGTTTTGTTTCTCTGAATCTGTACTTGATAAAAATGAATTTTGGGATTTGTCATTATCAAATACAGATTCGGAATTCAAAATAACATATATAATTTTTTTTTAACTATTCTAAACTTAAATGACTTTCTAATAAAATTATTGCCAAATTTTAAAAGAATTTAACTCATTTTCAACAGGTAACGAGTCATAATAAGCTATCATTCAAAGATAAACTACCAGAACATAAGCTTGACTCACTAATTATAAAGTTCTATACCCATATTAAAACGGCATAAATTGTCTTTTAAATAATTAATTTTCTTTTAACTGTTTTGTGAACTTCTCAACTGTTTCTCTCCAGTGGGAATGTCTCCTTCATTCTCTCGCATTCGGTGTTAGTTCTTCAAATAACTGCAACGTACTAAAGTCGGGACCTATTTAAAATAGAATATAATTAATTCCCTGATTACATGAAAAATATTAATTGAAGAAGCGAATGAATTAGGCTGAATTTTATTCGATAAACAGAAGTAACTAACCCACTTTTCTTATTAAAAATTATATGTTTGTCTTTTTACGTCATACTCTTATACAAAAAATTCAAAATTTCAGTAACATTTTATTTGCTTTTTATAAGCATACAAAACAGAATCGTTGGTAAAATTATTAATTGATTAAAACTTCCATTACAATTTTAATCATTTAGTAATTTTATAGCAATTTGCGTACCCTTTTCACACGTTTAACAATTAACATCATTTACATATTTAACATTTATTCGCTCAATTTACCTATTCTGGCTTTGTACGGTTGGTTCCGTACCTTTTAATATCGAAATTATCTTAAATATCGCTAGAGTTACATCAATTATATAGGCTGATCTTAATATACACTTCCTACAGAACTGTTATATAAGTTTGATGTTACGATTCACCTCTAGACGGAATTAAATGGAAGTAATTTGTGGTTATCTAGTACGATATTTTATCCGTGTTCATAGATTACTAACGCAGTAAGGTAAGGTAATACAATAGTGTCAAACCAGAACGACAATATAATTCTAAAGCAGTGTTTCTCAACGGGGGCGTTTTTCCATGTTGAGGGGGCGATTAGTAACAATTTATATTTTGGAGAGCGGAAAACTATTTTCTGGGCGATATAGTAAAACATTATATTAAGAATAATTAGATATTTTATTCGTTATATCGTACAATAATTAAACAAATAACATTACACTAGTCACTAGTCTATTCGATGCGGCACGAATTTGGCGTTAGCCTTGGCCCTGGGCATCGGAATTTTGTAGTGAAGGGGCGATACTACGTTGAAGGGGGCGACGATTCGTTAGAGGTTGAGAAACACTGTTCTATTGTATAAATTTTGTAATTACAAGCAGAAAATCAAAATACTTTTTAATGAAGACCTACTCGAAATGGTCTGTATCTTCCATAACATACACGCTGATTATTGACTAAATTTTACTTTATCGTATTTAATACATACCAATTGACTGAGTGCATAAATTATAAAATAAATGCACAATTTTTATAATTAAAATTAGATTAATCACAATTAATTAACATTTCGCACGAACATAATTATGGAACATTTTTCATATATTTTGAATATATATCATAATTTAAAAATACGCAAATTTTAGATTAGAATTTCACGAAATTTTGTCAGTGAACTCCATCGGAATGCGAGGATGAATCATTTGAGTGGAGATATTTATCACTTACTTTTCAGAACGAGTAACATAAAGCAGAAAATACGATAACAGGCTTGTCGAATACTAAGGCATTTATCTACTGAAGAGCAACGGATAAAATCCCACTCAAATATCATCTTTGCATTCCGAAACAATTCATTAACAACGGTTTCGGGAAATTCTAACTATAAAGTAAAATTACACCAATTTTTGCTTTATTCGACCACGAAACCGCCGACATTCCTTATTACTTTTGAACGAACTCGGCTCTAAACGATCCACGCAACGGTTATCGAGGATCTGCCGACGTGGCTCCGCAATAGGGAATATCGGCGATTACGTGCGCCGAAAAAGAAGAAATTGGTGTTATTATACTTTATAATTCAATTACATTTCATAATTAAAATAATTCGTAAACACCGAGTGAGCGGTCGAAAACAGAACCGCACTCGTCTAAACGCCCCGTGCCACATCCGAGAGGTGGGGCGAGGCGTTTAGGCCATTCTGTGTAGCCGAGCGTTGCTGGTTCTTAGAGTTAACTAACTCTTCGTGTTATAGGTACTTAGCACTCTCGTGAATTTGTTTTCATTTGATCACTCTGTATACCAGCAAAGTGGAATAAAATTATAAATGTTTCGCACACTTAAATCTTGTAAAGTTGAGAATTAATGGCGTAACCTGTGCCAGGGTTTGCAAAATAAGGCAAATTTCTTTATACACTTTGTAAAGATTTATAAAGGAATTTCTTATTTTCCAAACGTCATTCGTACAATTTTTAGTTTTGTTTCTCTGAATCTGTACTTGATAAAAATGAATTTTGGGATTTGTCATTATCAAATACAGATTCGGAATTCAAAATAACATATATAATTTTTTTTTAACTATTCTAAACTTAAATGACTTTCTAATAAAATTATTGCCAAATTTTAAAAGAATTTAACTCATTTTCAACAGGTAACGAGTCATAATAAGCTATCATTCAAAGATAAACTACCAGAACATAAGCTTGACTCACTAATTATAAAGTTCTATACCCATATTAAAACGGCATAAATTGTCTTTTAAATAATTAATTTTCTTTTAACTGTTTTGTGAACTTCTCAACTGTTTCTCTCCAGTGGGAATGTCTCCTTCATTCTCTCGCATTCGGTGTTAGTTCTTCAAATAACTGCAACGTACTAAAGTCGGGACCTATTTAAAATAGAATATAATTAATTCCCTTTAATATAAAAATAAACTATATATTATTTTATAAATATAACATCTGCACGTTGGTAAAATAGGATTAGTATAGGAATTAATTAAATTCTGCTAATGAAATGTAACTCACTCTCAAATTCCGCAAAGATGTTTACTTCATTTTTCCCTGACTGATTTTCCGGTCTCTGTATTAAGAAATAAACAATGAAATACGCTGCGACAAACTCAAAATTTATGGTAAAATTTAAATATTACCACTTACATTATCAGAGATGATGCCATTTTCATAAAATAAACCAATATTGCCTGGATTATTCTCAGAAAGAAGAGGATCGTGCAATAATATATTATCATCTGTCAAGAGATCCGTCCGAAGATTATCTAAATCTTGCTCGCTTCCCGAACTCGTATCTGTTGAAAAATTCAACTGCTCTTCAATAAACTGCATTAAATCTAAATACATTTCCGACTCTGAAGGCAGAGGAGATAAGCCATATTGCGTGTCGTTTGACGCTGGCGAATTCAACAAATCTTCATTTTCGGACAGCACAGAAGAGCATTCTGAACTACTACCCGAATGGTCTGACCATTCATTTAGCTCATGAAATAAACTTCTTTCGTCTAGTTCGGGAAGTTGCTCGTATTCTTCCGTCGAAACGATTGATATTTCTTCTCCAGTCTGCAAGGAACTTTGTTGGTTTACACTTCTCTGCAGTTCTGCCAGTTCTTCCGTTTCAGTCACTAAAGTAAATAAATAATAATACGTAAACATTTGATCGTAATACATAAAATCAATTATAAAATTTTAAAAGTTAAACGTAAGAAATGATCTTGGACAAAATATCATCGATAAGTCTGATTTATTTGGAGATACCTGGACGATCCGCCGAAGGCAGATTCCTCCCGGGAGGACTTTTATGGGAAACTGTCTCCTAATTATTATAAATACGAAAATACTCAGAAAACTCCGCGTAGTCGGACCGTCGGACGGGCGCAAACCCGCGACCAACTACCAAGTGTTGGGTGGTTTTATCCACTGGGTCGGTGGTGGTCGTGTCATCCATACATTCAAGAAGTTCCTTTCAGTAAACTCTATTATATCGGCCTAAGCGTGGTCAGGTTTTACGAGATGGTAACGCAACCGGACTCTCTACATAAACTGCCCCTATTTAGATGTTAATTGTAATTTATATTATTATTTATTTTAAGTATTAACGTCAGTAATAATAATTATTTAATGTTTAATTTTAGATTAATATTATTATTTTATAATTCAATACGTCCGTCGCGGGTTGCAACGGACGTATTAAATACGACCATCCGGCCGACGATCTTACCCGCGGCTTATTTTAGGGGTGGACCTTATATTACGAGAATCCCGAAAAATCGTGCTAGGGTTGAGTTCATAGATTAATTAATCGTACGGTAACACTCGTCCTATCGTTTCTAATCTAATTGTTATTCGACACTTTCAAAAAGCCCAAACGAAGAAATGCAATGGCATGAAAAGAAGACGTGACCGTGACACGATAACCAGCGCAGTTTTTGTTTTTATAAAATTACGGCCGAAACTATTCTTTTGCAGACATAAAATGATGTTAATAAACAGCCGATGAACAACTTACTTTCGTAATTTATCAGTTGATAAAGTCTATACTTCTTTTTCAACGGAGAGGGGATCTGTTTCACTTTTTCTTTTAATCTGTTCAACGCATTAATGAATCTTCCTCTGGAATTTGTATAGAAATTTCTCTCCGTTTTATCTTCCCGTTTGTTTAGTCTATCCCATTCCTGCAATTAAAGAAAAATGCATAAATATAATCCTTTTAAAATCGATGAATAAATATTCCTCTTTCTGGAAATTATAACCGAATGTCTTACGCGGCTCGCACTATCCATTTGAAGCGGAGGAATAGCCGAGCCTCTTCTATGAGGCTTATAGAATTGCGTTGTTCTCAAAATCAGTTCGATCGATTTTGATCGAACGTTGCCATTTTCCATTAATTACGACGAGAAATCCAAAAATGTACCGAGAGTCGACTTAAATGTAAAAAATAGGGATTGGTGGGTTTTCGAAAGACACGGGAGTTAAATTGACAATGTCCTTGCTTTCTGATGCCACTGAGCGAGCCTAATGGAATTTGGGCCTAGGGATCGGAATTAAACATAGTATCGCGTGCGCCTAAACGAAGGTAGGCGCAAAAAACGTCCAAAACACGAGAAGGAAACAATTAACGAGGATTACTTTGTTCTTCCGCGCTCAACGAGTGCGGGGATAGCTTCTTTCTTTCCGGCTTCACCTCAATTCTATCGCCACGTCCTAGTTGTTACGATTAATCATATATTAATTTAACCAGGTCCAAAGTAACGAATTTCATTTTGTAGAGGGTGGCTGGTACGTCAAATCTTTGTGTTTTAAACATTTTTATACTGTACTAATTATCATTATTCCTAAAATTACGTAGCTTAAATAAATAACCTTTATATCCTCGTTATATGTTTTGTTTTCGATTTTTATCAGTTTCCATGACATTTCTGTTTTTTCGTACGATTGTCAACAAAGTGGGCGACGTCGCGTGTCTTTTGTAAGTACGGTTTATGCATATTATTGATGCGTGTATACTAAATTACTCAGTTATGTATCGCGCGACCTTAAGAGTTCCTTCCGATTAAAAACGTTTCCCCTCCTCTACACTGTATAAAAAAATAATGGCAAGACCTACAATATTCGCTACATCCAATCCGCTGCAATAATCGATAAAACGTTTGTTTACGACTTTCGTAGAAGTTTCGGCACGGCTTTTTTTTCTTAGTGCAGGTTATTGAAATCTTCTTTAAAATTGTGTGACAATTATTCGGACCGAAATAAAATGTGTCATTGAAATTTACACCTCTGCTCCCACAGTTTCGTCCTTAAGGGGTCAAATTGATACATCTCTTAGAAGAGAAGTCGACACCGTCACACGTTGGCCACGTTGATAAAATACGCCGAGGAAGTAAATCTGTTGTGCCATCTACCGTTATAAAGTCGCATACTTTAAAAGCGAAATAATTACCAGGTATTACTGTAAATTACACGTGCGAGAATACGGGCGAAGGGAATGAGCCCTTTTTGTCTTTGGGATGGTTTTTTTTCTAGTGGCGAAAGGGTTGGGAAAGTCGACGGGTGTCCGTGTTTTGGAGTGACGGGAGACAAGTTTTTAACAGACAATAAGACTTTATTATATAACTAAACCTAAGATTAGATGCGGTTTAAATGAGGTTACATATACACTCCTACGGACTGGATTGACAAAAGTTTCTAATCAGCCGGTACACTGACCTAATGACCTTGCTCCGTCGCTACTTCCGCTCAGAGTTTACAATAATCTATAGATAACTCAATATTCGTTGGTCAAATTATTCGATAGATGACGTTCGTTCCATGGGGGAGAGAAGAATTCGAAGAGGACTGGCGATTGTATGGCGGGTCTTCTTATAGTTGACTCGCACGGGACAGTCCGTTGGCGGAGGTCCGCCGAACTTGGCACCTAGTCGTCGATTACTCCGGGCACTAATTAATCTATTCGTCTTCCTTCGAACTTCGTACGGGACGACCTTCCGGAACTTCGGTGTCTTCACCTTTTACGCTCGATGCTTGGGAAAATGATCGCGCGATCGACTATTGACAGGTCGAAGGTTCATTCCCAGGTGCGGGCATAGGTTTCTTCCGATGACGTTTAATAGCAGCAGTCCCTCTTTCACAATAATGTTTTCCTTTTGCCACCTTGTTGTCAAAATTCCTCTCCGTTTGTTTAGAGAGAACGTCATCCGATCCCTTCTATAGCGATGTTGCTTTTCCTAACAATCGCGTTAAGAAATTAAATTACATAGTCGTAATTTTGCGCGAAATTCGCTCATTCCTACGCTCGGGCCCGTTGATAGGCCCGCGGGCTCACACACGTATGTATAAGTCCATATGAAAACATATAAATAACCAAAAAACGTGCAGTATTTTATAGAAACTTATCATGGCTTTTAGCGCTGGATCGAATGTCCAATTGGGTGCCAAAAGCGCACGAGATGGATATATCGCTTTTCATTTCTACACTGTTTAGTTGCGCGGAAACGGATAAACAACGGTTAAATAACCCGTTAGTTTTAAAGTAAACACCAGAAACACTTACCACAAACACCCGACAGTCTTCCTCCGACCATTCGCCGCTACGTTTATGACAGACGGAAACTTTAAATATTCTGTTTTTTTCGTCGTCCCACTTGAGAAGTTTCCCAAATCTTCCACTTTGTAGCGACGGTATAATAAAATCTTCTATTAGATACACCATCTCCTACCAATGCATTAAATTTCTGTTACACATCTCCGGGTAAAAAAATTAATTATTTTCGAAGAAATGAGCAAAAACTTACGTTTTTCTTCGCTTAAATCGAGCAAAATCGCCTCCGAATAGCGTTATAAATGCCGTTACAAACACGGGGCCGACGACGGTTCTACTTTTTATACCTCTACCGGGAAAATCCCGTCGCGCTTGCGTATAGACGTCTTCCTCTCTGTGACATCATAATATATCGTCCCGCGCTTGCGCTTCGATGGTATTTTTAATCCGGGGAGTCCCCCGATAGAAATGTTAGAAAGCGTATATATTTTTTTAAAGAAAATAAACCGATATTAAACGTTTAACAATGCACCTTCCCTATTAAATGCGTATAAATTATTGTGGAAATTATGTGTTTATTGTTTGTTTTAATATAGTAATTTATTACGGTCTAATTAATTCTTAAGTATATAGAAGCTTACGCGGTGTTTTATGTGATTACTAACGAGTATCCTATAATTAGTGTTGTTTAACGCGGGTCGCGATGCCGAGTTAAACGCTTTGCTATAGACATAATAGGCAAAAGGCTGTTACAAAATCAATGGGCGAAGGTAAACGCTTTGTTAATGGGTTAATGGGTGCGTTGCCTAGTAAGATGGCTTTAATACGCGTGGACGGAGGTGTCGTTTCCACTATGGAAGGTATGGAAGACTCCATACCTCACATTTTTGCAGGTATGGAATTTTATAGCTCAGAATATTGAAAAAATTATTTATAATTTAATGCGAGGCACTCGCTCTCTGTATGAAAACAAATTGTTTCTTGGATTGTGGGCGTCGGGGGTCGTCAAAATTTTGATTTCGCGAGTTTAGAGTAGGGTCCTGCCACCGAGTGTGTTTTGTCGGACACACCTCCGATTTAGACAAAAAACAAATAGTTAAGGCGCGAGGGTAAGAGTCACTCCGAAGTCCAGGAATGAGCCTCTCGGGAGGATGAATGCGAAGTCAAATACAAATGAAAAAGAAGTTGATTATTAAAAAAAACAACGTTGATTTAGGAAATTGGCCTATCCCTATCTATAAAACGGGGGATATCTGAACTGCGCCACTCACAACATACCAGGAAAAGAGTTGTCTTCTCCCCTTTCTTTTCGTCTCGTTCCTTTCTTTGGTCCTTCTCTAGGTCGATTGTCCCTTTTCTGGTCAATCTCCTGTCCAGCCAGTCCAGTCAGTCTCAATTCTCTCTCACTATTCCAATATTCTTTTTCACCTTCTCAATTCAGTCTCACTCCTTCAAATCTTTCTCACTCTCTCATTCTATCTTTTTCTGCGTTAATTTCTGTGTTTTTTTGTTTTTGACCAATCATGCTTTAGTTCCGGAGGAAGGTGAGGTAATTTGTAAAATGCACGATTAATCATCTATTGGTTCTCCTCCTCTCTTGTCAATGAAGAATGATGCGTGTCCGTGTGACACGGACCGCGTACCATCGGTCGTGTAACATCGTCGAAAAAGGGGGAAACGACGAACCTAAAGGCCCGATTAATTAAATAATACATTATTAGAAAAAGAATTAAAATAGGATTACGTCGGTGTTTTACTTAGCGTACGTATTAAAACATCTTCGGTCTGCCGTAGGAATACGTATAAAAAGTATTGTACTTTTACAGATCGTCGAATAAACGTGTGAAGATCATTTGGCAGGCAAAATGAGTTTTTCTAATTATTTTTTTAAATTTTAACTATGAAAGTAATCGTAAGAAAGAGGCGTTAGCGGGGTGTTTTTAATCGTACCCATCACTAATTACGCCAGGCCTGGCAATAAGAGTAGCGGGATGATGAGGGAGGGGCTCTGTAAATTCGGGACTAGACTCGCCGGACATTCTTTATTTTAGCATTTATTGAAACGAGAAAGGGCGCAGTTTGTCTTTCGTATTCACTTTTCGGGTCTGCGCTTTATAGTGGCTACGGTAAATTTTCGCACGAGCCTATCCTTATTTATAAATCCATATCCTCACCCTGCCGATCCTATTGTAGATGGTCGAACCTACGATGGGCGCGAGGAAATATATATACAGTATATATCTTCATTACTTTCCGAGATCACAAATTTCCTATGTGTTAGATAATGTATTTATTATATTAGAAAGCATAGAAATGTATTATATTATATTAAACAATTTATGAAATAAGTTAGTGTAATACGTGAGCGAAGGCTGTACTATACAGTATATTTTTTATACGGAATAAAACACGAGTTACACGAAACAATAGAAATTTATTACACCCGTTAAAAATAAAAGCGTGAGAAAAAAGAAAAAATCATTTACTTTACTGGACATTTACCCCCGTTCTGGAAAGTCTGACATAATATAATACGAATTAAATTTTTTACTGTATAAAACCTTTATCCGATTATAGACGTTTATTAATTCCTAGAAAATATTGCAACAGATCACATAATAATAGTTTTATCGACGCTTATCAACCGAGCCCTTTGTTACCTATTGATAACGGACAAACTACATCTTTGATACTTATCACACTAAAAGCTTCTACATACGTAGTACAGGAGAACCTCGCGTAACGAGGAAAACAAATTGTAAAAATTTGACTCGTTTAACGAGCGATATTTCGCGTAACGAGTAACGAGGAGCGGGCAAATCCCGTATTGTGCTCCATCGGTCCGTGTTTCGCCAGTATCTTAGTGTCGCTGGTGATCACACATTTTTCCAAACTTGTGGTGGAGGATGTATGGTAGGTTTGTTTAATAATGTGTATCAATCAGGAATGATTCCTTTAGACTGGCGGATATGTAAGATTATTCCTATATTTAAAAAAGGACGTAGAGATTTACCCGATAATTATAGAGCAATTTCGTTACTACCGTCAAAAGCCTTTTGACTGCCGCTCTCCAACAATGCATTTGCACCATAAACCGAAATCAAAGGGTACCGAAAGCACTTAAGCACAGGCGTGCGATAAATCATTAATAGTATACATCAATATCGGAATAATTTGGTGGGTATTGATCTTTTGGGAACGGATGTGAAAATCTCGACATATGCAGATGATTTGGTGGTTATAGCAAATTCGCCTATAGGTCTACACAGAACGATTGACCTTTTAAGATACACACTACGGGAGCTAAAACTTTCTGTTAACATTGACAAATCTAAAATACGTCGACTCCCCTATAACACTGTTGATTATTCCGTTTTATATGAATTTCATGTTGTACACATGAAATTCATATAAAACGGAATAATCAACAGTGTTATGGGGGGGTCGACTGTAATGGTATTTCGAAATGGAGGAAAACATTCTAATAACGAGAATTGGTTTTTAGAAAATCGCAAAATAGAAGTAGTTGACGAGTATAAGTATCTGGGTGTAGTTTTCCAGTCTAATGGGCGTTTTTTAAAACATTTAAAGTATATTGACAGTAAAGCGACTTTCGGAATTAATAGGATTATTAAGGCTTGTGTATCTGGTAGATCGGTACGTTGGAAAGATAAATTAAAATTATTTGAGTCATTTATTCAACCAGTAGTGTTATATGGATCCGAAATTTGGGGCTTTGATTGGAGAGATAGAGATGATAATTTTATTAAGCGTTTATACTCTCTAAAGAGATTGATTCCATCGTATATTATATATTTTCAAAGAGTCCCCCTTTATTTTAATATAATAAAAAATAATTTAAGATGGTTACGTAAACAGTCTGTTAGTAAACTTACAGAGTCAGCTAAATTATTTTTAATTTCTCAAAGAGTAGCGTGGGGAGATCGAATTGTGTCTTTGTTGCACAAGTCCGGCTATCGAGATGATGTTGTTGCAGGACTGTAATAACCATTGTATTTATAGTTTTGTATTTATACCATTGTATTTGTATGGTACAATGGTAAAATACCATTGTATTTATAGTTTTGTAACTAAGTTAAATGGAAGATTATTTATTTGTTAAGATTAAGAGACTTTTTTTTCCAGATGCTTACCACCAGGAGGTGTAAATCTACTATTTAAGTGGACGACGTACTTGTTAGTGTGAGATCTGAAATGCCCCCGGGTCTAAAATAGTAATTTTATTAATAATGTTAATATTTTGTTATAAAATATTCTTTCGTTTGGGTGAGAAAAATAACGTTTTAGAGTGGGAGAAATAGATAACAGATGCTACTTCCTTCTAGGGAAGTTAGAACATCCTCTGTTTTTCCATTATCTGCTAGAAATCTCGCTTCAATGGGAAATGTTTACCCCTCACATATTCCCCTTTCCGTCCGTTCCCACGGAAGGATCTTTGTATGATGATTGGTCGCCGATCGTCAGATATAGAGGAAATTTATCAGAATTCGAGGAGTTCATCGACAGACCTGGAAGAGTCTGGACTCCACACAAATTGCTCCTGAGGACCAACGCCCTTAGACGAGTCACATAGAATAATTCCAGAGTCTGCACTTAGAAGTTATACTTTAATTTGTGCACATATCGATCTCCCATGGAATGAAGTTTGAGAACCAAGTGCCTTTGCCAACCGATGAAGAAGACAAAAGACAACTGAACCAGGTTGTATGTTTACTAACGATTTTGTGAGCTCTCTCGATCGCGTACCGGTTAAATATAAGTCCATATATCTCTCGACTTATAGGTTGTAATTTGTAGTCATTGTCTCTTACTACCATATATTTGTACTATTGTTATTGGTTTATGTTTAATTAAATTTATTCTTGTTTATTTTATAAAGAAATGTCTCTCATTCAACCCTTGAATCAGATCTATAAAATAACCACACGCGTGTTTGTCCGCGGATCGATTAATTGACAAACTGGTGTCTGGAACCTGACAATTTGGATAGAGACTTCATAGTCTTTAATCCTACCGCCTTCCTATGAAAGTTTTAAGATCAGATCCAGTCACCTGAAACTTTAGAGACAGATTTCGGATAATCTGGGCCGAATAAGTGGTACGAACAATCCTAGCGGATTAGTATCCCCGGCTACTCTCACATTAGTGTTGATAGTCGGCGCTTTTGGGCGTATTATATATATGTTTCGGAAATAATTAACTGAATGACACTAACGTGAAAGCGACTCCCATTCGCCAGTGTTACCGATGTACAATGATTGGGGTCGTTTAGTCCATTTTTATATAAATTTTGATGATCGGTCAATCATAAGGACTTGTTGGATCAGGTGTTTACCACATGTGAACACCTAACGACCGGGTTTCAATCTGGAACCCATAAAGTGACATTTACGTGTGAGTGCGACATTCGGGGTTGTCTTTTTGTTCGGGTCAGCCAGATGAGTAGGACGCAGTGCTGTGCGATGTCTATAATTTTAACATCGATGTTTGCCTAAGCATC